ACATTCCCCTTTAAAGCTTGAAGCCTCAAGGAAGACTTCTTCTCCGGAGGTGTACCTTTCAACTTAGAGCTTCGGTTTGTTACCTTTCCCATTTGGGAAGATGATGAATAGTACCTCCAAAATTGGACCTTCTCGGATGATGATGAAACGTGGTTGTAGAGGTGCGCCAAGGTCAGGCGACCCCCACACAGCTCTCAAACACCTTCTCCAAGCTCCTTGTTGATGTAGATCTTCGTTTTACAAAAAGTCAACTATGAATAGTAAGTTTTAGCTCCTCTTCGTAAGTGTTGTACGGCAATGGCGGATTGAGCTCAAATTCCAGGTAAGAGGTCGCCAAGAATAGAGAACCTCCCAGCTAGAAAATGTCGAGCATCCAACAAGCCAAGCGTGAGAAACGAACAAAAGTTTTTCTCGTGAATAGTGCTTTTGCGAATGAATTTGCGCTTATGAGTTCCAGAATCCGGGGTATTACAAAGCCAAGAGGTTGGAGAAGAAATACTAAGGATACCGTAGCTCGTATGTGGTGGGAGATGGCGGTGGTGGACGGCGGTGGTGGTGTTTCCGGCGTGAAAGAGCCAATATGACCGTTACCGGTCAAGTTAAGAGAGAAGAGCTCTCAACTCTCACTAGAACCGAAAATCCTATATTACCATCTTACCTAGTTCTAAAACTTGTCTTCAGGCGCTGGTTTCAAAAAATCAAGTGATTATTGCCTAATTACTGAAATACACTGTATTTACGCTAAAAGTGCTCTATTTTAGCTGAAAACGCTAAATCATAGAGATAAGGCTATGTATTTATGATACTCATATCCCGCTGTGTGTTTATCCGTTTGGGGCGTATTATATCTCGTTGGAAAGATAGATCTGAGCTCTAAAGCTATTGTTCCAACTTCATTTACAATGCATTAATTAAAAGTTACAGATTAACCATATATAAACAAATGTTTCTGATTTCACTTTGAACTCGTGTAGAATTTGATGCGATCATATATTGCTCTATTTTGTGCCATTGAAAGCGTTTAATATCTCGTTGGAAAGATCTTACCAAGTTCTAAAACTTGTCCTCAGGCGCTGGTTTCAAAATAGCAAGGGATGATTTCCTAATTACTTAAATACACTGTATTTACGCTAAAAGTGCTCTATTTTCGCTGAAAACGCTAAATCATAGAGATAAGACTAAGTATTTGTGACACTCATATCTTGCTGTGTGTTTATCCATTTGGAGCGTATTATATCTCGTTGGAAAGATAGATCGGAGATCTAAAGCTATTGTTCCAAATTCATTTACAATTCATTAATTAAAAGTTACAGATTAACCATATATTCTCAAATGTTTCTGATTTCACTCCGAACTCGTGTAGAATGTGATGCGATCATATCATGATCTATTTTGTGCCGTTGAAAGCGTATAATATCTCGTTGGAAAGATCTTACCGAGTTCTAAAACTTGTCTTCAGGCTCTGGTTTCACAATATCAAGGGATGACTGCCTAGTTACTAAAATACACTGTATTTACGCTAAAAGTTCTCTATTTTCGCTGAAAACGCTAAATCATAGAGATAAGGCTAAGTATTTGTGACACTCATATCTTGCTGTGTGGTTATCCATTTGGAGCGTATTATATCTCGTTGGAAAGATAGATCGGGGCTCTGAAGCTATTGTTCCAACTTCATTCACAATTCATTAATTAAAAGTTACAGATTAACCATATATTCACAAATGTTTCTGATTTCACTCCGAACTCGTGTAGAATTTGATGCGATCATATCTTGCTCTATTTTGTGCCGTTGAAAGTGTTTAATATCTCGTTGGAAAGATCTTACCGAGTTCTAAAACTTGTATTCAGGCGCTGGTTTTAAAATATCAAGGAATGATTTCCTCATTACTAAAATACACTGTATTTACGCTATAAGTGCTCTATTTTCGCTGAAAACGCCTAATCGTAGAGATAAGGCTAAGTATTTGTGACACTCATATCTTGCTGTGTGTTTATCCGTTTGGAGCGTATTTAATCTCATTGGAAAGATAGATCGGATCTCTAAAGCTATTGTTCAACCTTCATTTACAATGCATTAATTAAAAGTTACAGATTAACCATATATTCAAAAATGTTTCTGATTTCACTCCGAACTCATGTAGAATTCGATGCGATCATATATTGCTCTATTTTGTGCCGTTGAATGCATTTAATATCTCGTTGGAAAGATCTTACCGAGTTCTAAAACTTGTCTTCAGGCGCTGGTTTCAAAATATCAAGGGATGATTGCCTAATTACTAAAGTACACTGTATTTTCGCTAAAAGTGCTCTATTTTCGCTGAAAACGCTAAATCATAGAGATTGTTGTGTGTTTATGCGTTTGGAGCGTATTATATCTCGTTGGAAAGATAGATCGGAGCTCTAAAGCTATTGTTCCAACTTCATTTACAATTCATTAATTAAAAGTTACAGATTAACCATATATTCACAAATCTTTCTGATTTCACTCTGAACTCGTGTAGAATTTGATGCGATCACATCTTGCTCTTTGTTGTGCCATTGAAAGCGTTTAATATCTCGTTTGAAAGATCATACCGACTTCTAAAACTTGTCTTCAGGCGCTGGTTTCAAAAAATCAAGGGATTATTTCCTAATTACTAAAATACACTGTATTTACGCTAAAAGTGCTCTATTTTAGCTGAAAACGCTAAATCATAGAGATAAGGCTAAGCATTTGTGACACTCATATCCTGCTGTGTGTTTATCCGTTTGGGGCGTATTATATCTCGTTGGAAAGATAGATCGGAGCTCTAAAGCTATTGTTCCAACTTCATTTACAATGCATTAATTACAAGTTACAAATTAACCATATATAAACAAATGTTTCTGATTTCACTCCGAACTCGTGTAGAATTTGATGCGATCATATCTTGCTCTATTTTGTGTCGTTGAAATTGTTTAATATCTCGTTGGAAAGATCCTACCGAGATCTAAAACTTGTTTTCAGGCGCTGGTTTCAGAATATCAAGGGATGATTGCCTAATTACTAAAATACACTGTATTTACGCTAACAGTGCTCTATTTTCTCTGAAAACGCTAAATCATAGAGATAAGGCTAAGTATTTGTGACACTCATATCTTGCTGTGTGTTTATCCGTTTGGAGCGTATTATATCTCGTTGAAAAGATAGATCGGAGCTCTAAATCTATTGTTCCAACTTCATTTACAATGCATTAATCAAAAGTTACAGATTAACCATATATTCACAAATGTTTCTGATTTCACTCCGAACTCGTGTAGATTTGATGCGATCATATCTTGCTCTATTTTGTGCCATTGAAAGCGTTTAATATCTCGTTGGAAAGATCTTACCATTTTCTAAAACTTGTCTTCAGGCGCTGGTTTCAAAATATCAAGGGATGATTGCCCAATTACTAAAATACACTGTATTTACGCTAAAAGTGCTCTATTTTCTCTGAAAACGCTAAATCATAGAGATAAGGCTAAGTATTTGTGACACTCATATCTTGCTGTGTGTTTATCCGTTTGGAGCGTATTATATCTCCTTGGAAAGATAGATCTGAGCTCTAAATCTATTGTTCAAACTTCATTTACAATGCATTAATTTAAAGTTACAGATTAACCATATATTCACAAATGTTTCTGATTTCACTCCGAGCTCGTGTAGAATTTGATGTGATCATATCTTGCTCTATTTTGTGCCGTTGAAAACGTCTAATATGTCGTTGGAAAGATCTTACCTAGTTCTAAAACTTGTCTTCAGGCGCTGGTTTTAAAATATCAAGGGACGATTGCCTAATTACTAAACTACACTGTATTTACTCTAAAAGTGATCTATTTTCGCTGAAAACGCTAAATCATAGAGATAAGGCTAAGTATTTGTGACACTCATATCTTGCTGTGTGTGTATCCGTTTGGAGCGAATTATATCTCGTTGGAAAGATAGATCGGAGTTCTAAAGCTATTGTTCCAACTTCATTTACAATGCATTAATTAAAAGTTACAGATTAACCATATATTCACAAATGTTTCTGAATTCACTCCGAACTCGTGTAGATTTTGATGCGATCATATTTTTCTCTATTTTGTGCCGTTGAAAGCGTTTAATATCTCGTTGGAAAGCTCTTACAGAGTTCTAAAACTTGTCTTCAGGATAGGGTTTCAAAATATCAAGGGAGCATTGCCTAATTACTAAAATACACTGTACTTACGCTAAAAGTGCTCTATTTTCGCAGAAAACGCTAAATCATAGAGATAAGGCTAAGTATTTGTAACACTCATATCTTGCTGAGTGTTTATCAGTTTGGAGCGTAATATATCTCGTTGGAAAGATAGATCGGAGCTCTAAAGCTATTGTTCCAACTTCATTTACAATGCATTAATTAAAAGTTACAGATTAACCATATATTCACAAATGTTTCTGATTTCACTCCGAACTCGTGTAGAATTTGATGCGATCATATCTTGCTCTATTTTGTGCCGTTGAAAGCGTTTAATATCTCGTTTGAAAGATCTTACCGAGTTCTAAAACTTTTCTTCAGGCGCTGGTTTCAAAAAATCAAGTGATTATTGCCTAATTACTAAAATACACTGTATTTACGCTAAAAGTGCTCTATTTTCCCTGAAAACGCTAAATCATAGAGATAAGGCTAAGTATTTGTGACACTCATATTTTGCTGTGTGTTTATCCGTTTGGAGCGTATTATATCTCGTTGGAAAGATAGATCGGAGTTCTAAAGCTATTGTTCTAACTTCATTTACAATGCATTAATTAAAAGTTACAGATTAACCATATATTCACAAATGTTTCTGATTTCACTCCGAACTCGTGTAGAATATGATGCGATCATATCTTGCTCTATTTTGTGCCATTGAAAGCATTTAATATCTCATTGGAAAGATCTTACCGAGTTCTAAAACATGTCTTTGGGCGCTGGTTTCAATTTTTTTTTTGGATAAAATGTAAGTATATATATCCAGAAAAAATAGCATAGTACAAT